ACTAAAGAAGGTGAAAATGTTCATGACTGATATGTTATCTAAGTACAGAAAAGATTCTAGTCATTTATGCCACGAGCAGCGAATAAATACCTACTTGAGAAATGTCCTTTCTTAGTAGTGAATATGACCTTTTAAAAGATCTTTTCTAATTTTGAGAATTAAAAATTTATTTCCATTTGCTTGTACTGTTAGAGATGTTCAGGGGAGCATACGTTTTCAAATACCCACTGATCTATTGAGTGATGGTATGAGTTCTCTCCATTTCCTTTTCCCATTCTTCTTTTGGGGTTCTGAACTATTTACTTATCAGATGAAAAACACACTTTTATTCCTTGATCTCTGTAGTGGAATAAACCCCTTCATTTGCCTACCTTTACATTTGCTTCCAATCTCTAACATTGTTTTCCTGAATATAAATAACTCTCAGCCCCAAGTAATAGTATTTCCAGCTGCAACCGATTGGGTCAAGATATATCAGAAAGGAAGGGTGTTGTAAATGCTTGTCCCAACAGAGCTAACTGTAGCCCTTTAAAATGTAAAATACATAATACATACACTTCCACACATACAAATAAATGCACACACACAACAGACATACCCAGAGGATTAATTTCATTTTATATTTGACTGTGAATATGAGGTGTTTATCTCAAGACATAGTCAGTTTGCCCATGTTGCTGTGTTTGTTAGCTACCACTACTTGGAAATTCTTACACCAGAGCCTATAATATCAAGACAATCTATCTGATCATGCTAGGATAGAACCATCAGTGTGGTCCCTGCTGTCACCACACATGCACAGATCAATAGAAATTCCCAGTCCAACCATGTCCCTTCTTATTCAAGCCAGTCTTACATAAAGTGAAGGGGCTTCGTTTGTCCTGCCATCCAAGAGCTGTGAATCAAAAAGGTGAGATTATTGGGACAGTGTTTGGTTTCTTCCTTCTCATTCCTATAATTTGTGATGTGAAAGCAAATAGTTTTAAAGCACTGTCATTAGAAATGTTGCTGATTGTACTCACTCATGCCAGCTTAAACCACCATGTTTGTTCTGGTTCTTAATATGAGATGTGAAAGGACTATTCAGTTTCTAGTCCTAGAATAAAGCTTAAATAGATGATTATAGACTATATTTTTGACAATATGAGGTAGCTTTATGATTCCAATGCTTTAAAATTGAAAAATATTTATATTACTTATATTGCCTAATTTTCCTTAAAATTTGTAAAGGCATGTCTGCTTTTCTTCCTTTTTTTCAAAATTAATGTGTAATCTTCTGCTTCAGCCTCAACTCTAGATAGAACAAAGCATTACTTCTCATTATTTGGAAATGCAAAAGGTTGCATATATTTTATGGTTTATGGTTTCCATTTTATGTACTCACCATTGAGGAAGGACGAATACTATCATTTTCTGGGTTTCACAGTGTAAATATAGGGTTCGTTTGTTTTGAGTATATTAAGGATTAATTTTAGTCCAAGAAACTATTTTATAACGTTAGACCTCTCTCCAGAAGCACTACTGTTGTTTGGACTGACTGACTTAGCAGTACAACTAAGAATAAAAGCTAGCACACACTCTAAATATGCATGAGGCTACAAAATATACATCTGTACTATTTCCAAATCAAAGTATAAAGTAACAATATAGCATTGATTTGTAAGTAAAACACAGTTCTTCTGACATCATCTATGAAGAAATTGGAAAGTATAATATGTTCTAAGTACTTGTATAATAATCCATTTGATACCCAGTGAGCAAACTGAGGCTGAGTAGGTAACTTCTTAAGCTCTGAAGATAAAGATTCCTTGCCCCCTGTGCTGGTGTCCTGTTCCTTGGCTACACTGTTTGAGGTACAGTGTCACCAAGTGAAGTTATGCTAGGGTTTCATGCCAGGCAATATGGCTGCCAGCTCCATGCACTTCACAGAAAGCTGTGTGAAGTCTCCCAGTGTGAGTTTGCATCCTTTATCACAGGTCACTAATAGTACCTTTCTTCAATAATGAACACTTCTAAAAGCTATCTTTCTTGGAAACATTTTGTTAAAAAATTTTTTGCTTAGCTAAGTTCATTTCAGAGTGTTGTTCTTGGATACATTTACTAACCCTGAAATTTAAGTTTAATGCATCGGAAAATAGTAGCATACATATCAGCACTTGATCTGGCACCACCTGGCAAAAATAACATCCAGGACAGTGGATAGCACAGTGTTACGGTAAAGGCACCTGACGACTTGAATTCAATCCCTTTGTCTCACATGTTGGAAAGAGAGGACCAACTCCCACAAGTTGTCCTGTTATGACCTCCCCATCAGTTGATATTCACACACACACACACACACACACACACACACACACACACACACTCACATGCAGAGTCTTTGTCCAGTCGTAGGTACTTTTCCTGTACCCATTCCATCAAGAAAGCAAAAAGAAACATACCAACAACTAATAGATTTCATCTCTTCTCCCCCAGGATGTCAGAGGCACTAATACAGTCTGAAGACATTTAGAACACTTTTATATCAAAGCAAGAGTTTAATATGCTTTTATAAATTGAGTCTGTCATGTCTTAAGAATCAGAAGGACTAGTGTTCTATAATCTACATGGGTTTATAGATTGTCCCTAACAATAACCATCCCAGGTGGCACCACGTGACTATATCTTAACTCAAGAACTTTGTATAATCCTTGAGCTGATGAGGGAGCAGTTTCCATTTTGAGATATATCTTACTGATTGGATCATGTCCTTTTAAGTTACATTTTCTGTTTAAATTTTATATTTGCACTTTAAACTTTTAGGTAAGGGATCCCTTCTGAATGCTCTAGATGTCTCTCACTGTGAAATACCTTGTGTTGCCACCAATGAATTTTTAAAAATCATAATGTAAGCTGGACGTGGTGGTGCACACCTTTAATCCCAGCACTTGGGAGGCAGAGGCAGGCGGATCTTTGTGAGTTCGAGGCCAGCCTGGTCTACATAGTGAGTTCTAGGACAGCTGGGGCTACAGGGAGACCCTGTCTCAAAAAGACCGAAGTGGGGGGAAGATGATAAGCTAGGCATGATAGCACATGCCTTCTATCCTAGCACTCAGACTGGAGGATGCAGATCTCTGTGAGATTGAGGCCAGCCTGGTCTACATAATGAATTCCAGGACAGCTAGGACTACAGGGAGACCCTGCCTCAGACAAAAAAAAAAAAAAAAATCATCATAATGTATAAGTTAAAAGTATGTCTACACACAGGCACACTATGTAATTTATAAAGAATATATGTCAGATTACAACACAGTGTTTTACAAAGATGACCTCAGGATTTGTCAGAGTTGTACAACAAGATTCAAAGGGCCACACTTGGGCTGGTGAGATGTCTCAGTAGGCAATTTGAAGAGCCTGACAACAGGATTTTGAATGGATCCACATCGTAAAAGGAGAGAACCAACTCTCAAAAGTTGTCCTCTGACCTGCACACACACACATAAATATAGTAAAAAATTAAAAAGCAAAACTTACCTGACCTTGTAAAATAAAGCAAAGAATAAACATGGTATAAGGATGATGGCGAAGGCTCTCTTTTAGAAACAAAGAATTACAAATATAAATGCATTGTCCTTGTAGTAACTTATAGTTTTATATGCATTTTACCAACACCTAGGCTGTTACCAATTTCTAACGCTCAGCTGGTTCTGCATAAGTTCATTCCTGATGTCTTCCTTTTTCTCAGTTGTGCTCATAGCTCTGTGCCAACATCAATGTCAATTCCAGGATTTACTTTACTGACAGAAAGTCATTCTAAGAAAAGCTGTACAGGACTGAACCCAACAGTAATAAATATTCCTACCTCCAAGACAATAATTTTTGTAATTTCAATTCTTCCCAAGTTTTTGGCACTTTCTTGTTTATTATATGGTAGTACTCTTCTCACAATTGAGGGCTAGATTCAGATTCTTGTGACGTGAGACCCGTTCTTCCTCCTGCCCACTTAACAATTACTTGTCGCAACTATTTTCATAGTATTTGCGCCTGTAGGCAGCTATTCAACACTGTGGCATTGTTGGTGGGAATTTGTATATCTGAGATGATTTCCAGCAGGCTTATTAATAAGCAGGCTTTGGTGGGACTTCTCCATGGCGGTATTTCTTGTGAGAAGAGGTCAGGCTGGAGTCTGTGCTTGGTGCAAAGAGAACTAAATCCCCTGTCTTTGCACATTTAACATATTGGACAGGCAGCACACTATAAGGTCTTTTAGTAGTTTGAAAACAATACTTTTCTTAAGAAAAAATTAAAATTGTAACATGACATTTATTTCAAATTGGGTTTTAACATAGTAAAAGCTTCTCATTGAAGCATGCAGTCCAAATAAACCTCACAGCCAACATTTCCTAAGCATGGATACTTTTAGCGTCAGTATACAAAAACTAGCAAATGTGAAGCTTTTTGCTATGCCCATCAAATTTTCTTAACTCCCATTTATTGTGCCCTTTATTAATCACCAGATTCATGAAAATTTCACAACTTAGGAATCTAACCTCTTCTATGACTGCTTGGTCCAGCCTAAGCCACTGTCACCTTCCTTACTGCTATCCCTGCTTCTACTCTGGGCTACTTGTGATGTGGGCCATGAGGGTAAGCATCCCACACTAAAGCCAAACTGGTTCAACAGCTGGTGCTGCCGTTATCTATGGCTTTGAGAGCTTTGGTGACAAGCTTCTCTATGAGAATTTTTATCTCATGGTTGCTCTGAAGATTGGTTAACACAAAGTTCCTTACACAGGATGACTAGGTACTTATTTGCAAAGCTTGGAATACACCAAAACAGTTTTTAAAAAGTGTTGAATAAAATGGGATAAGTTAAATTTTAGCTGGGGACTACGTTTCCTAACATTGTTTTCAATATTATGGGTCAACCTAAAAGAGTCAGTGATTTCCTATGAGACCACGAGTACTTACTACTTTATGGTTATATGTGTAATTACAAGTTTCCCCTTTTGTTTTTGCAGGCTAATGACTCTGGAGAGTGAGATCAGATTCGTTCACAAGGAGATGGGTATAGTTCCAAGCTGGGGTGGAGCCAGCCGGCTGGTTGAAATCATTGGCAGTAGACAAGCTCTCAAAGTGTTAACTGGGGCTCTCAAACTGGATTCTAAGAAAGCTTTGAACATGGGCATGGTTGACGAGGTCTTGCAGTCTTCAGAAGAAGCTAAGTCTCTAGAAGAGGCACAAGAGTGGCTAGTGCAGTTTGTCAACGGGCCTCCGGAAGTCATCAGAGGTTTAAAAAAATCTGTTTGTTCAGGCAAAGAACTATATTTAGAAGAGGCATTACAGAATGAAAGAGATCTTTTAGGAACACTGTGGGGTGGCCCCGCAAATTTAGAGGCTCTTGCTAAGAAAGGAAAGCATATTAAATAGTTTTTAAGTGTGGCTGATTACAAGCTGCCATGGCTAACACACATGGAGTTGGAGGACACCAAGCACAAGCAGGACGATTGCTCCAAAGCGCACTAATACGGTGTTTGCTTCTGGTGATTTTTTTTTAAGTAACTCGTTGGTCTAGCTTCTTTCTTTTTAACCAACATTTGCTTAAAAATTACTTGTATCAATTCCTACATCTCTATAGTAGTTCTTAGCCTATGACCAAAGGTCTACTTTTAAAATGAAAACTTTCTACCTATCTCTGGGTTTACTTTTTCTAAATATGCTGATTTTTTTTCTTTTCCTTTTTTCTTTTTTAAATACTAAGTCTCATAGAGCGACTGGCATTAAATTTGCTGTGTAGCCAAGGGGACCCTGAACTCATCTTCCTACTGTGACCTCCACATGCTGGAATTACAGGTCACAGTACAAAGCCTAGCAGTTTTTCTTTTTTAAATGGAAGTAGTTTACCAAAAATAATAAATACAAACAAAAACACCTTGATAACCCTTTCAAATAAAGCAAAAAGCAGAGAAAGGTGAGAGAAGTAAACAAAAAGGATGACTGTTGTCATGTACTGTCCTGAACACTAGGGGGTAGGAGTCAGTGGGCAATGGACCTTCAGTAAAAGATGGACCACCCTCCTATGAATCTGGAGTTTTATTTAGTTGATCTTTTTGGTGATTTTCTATTTGAAATGACCTACCAGTCAAAATCATATATAGAGCTGGTTACACAGAGTCACCATTCATTTGTGCTCCCTAGAATTCCCAAGCTAGTAAGAAACAGTGCTGTTGATAGGGTTTTAAAGATTCAGGAAGCATCCTAAACAAATTTGCCTATTTTTTTCCATTTTTTCCAGCAGACTTGTTTTTCTGAACAGCTAATTTTTCTTCATGTGTGATTAGCTATTTTAATAGTCAATTTAATAGAAATGCATAACCCAGAATTTATGATCATCCCAGTATTTACTTTAAAAATAGGTCTTAGAATTAAGTTCTAACCCTAACCCATCTCAACAAAAGTTTGTTAAAGACACTTTCAAAGTAATGACTGTTTTTTACTGTTGTTTTATTTGGCCATTCAATTCACATAATAAAGATAACTTGGAAATGCTTTGCAACATGATCCTACTGTTTTAAGAAAATATAGTAAGACAGAATGACGTTTTTTTCCAGAGACGAATTCTTGATTCCATGTTTACGAAACACTTCCTACCTTACCAAGACATTTTCGTGCCTAATAAAAATAGACTGATCTGATCTGTAGAATTTTTGTGTAAATTTGGGTTTACTAATACTGCTTTTAAGTAAATTTTCTGTGTAACCTAGGTTGTAATACCACTGACAGAGACTGGCAAGGAAAATGCAAAATTAATGGAATCATCTATTTCAGAAATTTCAAGTCTTACAACCTTTAGGTCTATTTCAACATCTACCTATTCCATGTCCACTGCCCATAGCTTCTTTTTAAATATTCTCTATGAAGAAGTCAAACTTCTGAGTGGGTGATTATTTAAGCCGAATATAATCAAGCAAACAACCACCTTTTTAATTGCCTTTGGTCACTAAGATCCAAGTATTTCCATCCCTTTTCCAAACTCAAACAAGAGACAATTTCTGATAAACTCTAGTATTTATTAAATTATAAATTTTTAAATCATAAAGAAAAATATGTAGGTTAAGAGAAACCTCGAACTACAAGGATAAGACAGCAAAGCCTGTGGGAAGGAACACTGTGCAGCGTTAAAAATCAGAAACTGAAGTTACTGGCTTGCTTCGCATTTCTAGTTCAATAGCTGTTCATCTATTGTGAAATCCCAAATTCACTTCTATTTCCACATTAAGCTTCCTGCCCATGATATCAAGTATCTCACAAGTGCCAATTTTTAGTAAGGATTTTATACCAATCCATGCAGAAAAATAAGGTAGTGCAAGAGTCAGATGAAGACCATTAATGCAGAGACACACACTGGCCAAGGGAACTAAAAAGTTAAAAAATATATATATATATGTCAAGAAAAACTGGGTTATTACTGAACAGCTTTCAACTACCAACACCCAAATTCCTCACATTAAATAAATCTCAACAGAGACATATTAAACATTTTAATTTCAGGTCTGTCCTTCCCATACCCCTTCCCACCCAAACTCCCACAATGCACTACTAGGGATGAGTATAATGTTATGTGGGCAGAAATTTACAGCGTGGAGCTGAAGACGTTTATTTAAACTTCAGTCACTGTGCACTGTCCATCAGGCCTTCTCGACCTGACACCGACACTTATGGTTCCACCCCCTGCTACTGATCGGTCTGATCGATCAGCTACTGTCTGGTTTGCGTTTGGAACCAGAAGTCTCTGTTGGGTCAAGGAGTGTTGTCCAACAACTGCAGGTACAATCTCACTATCACTACTGGTATCAGACTCGCTTTCTTCAGCGGAGGTATCTGGTACTCTCCCTGAAGGTGGTGATTCATGATCTTCTTCTCCTTCCCCTCTATGACTTCTTTCAGCTATGCTGTCTCCATTGAGTTGTAAATGAGCAAAAGAGTCTTCCAGAGAAGTGCCTGCATCAGGGGACGGTGTTGCAGGGCTGGTTAGCTGACCATCGACTGATGTTAGGGGCCTGATGGAAGACGGCACCGGAAGCTGAACAGAAGCTCCAGATTGTGCTGATATGCTGTCCGCACCATCGGCAGAGCTCTCTCTTGCTAGGTTTACAGTGTTGGTGTCGCAGTCCAGCCGCAGTCCAGCTACTCCCTTCTTTGGTATATCTATTATATCTCGCTTAATCTTCCTTCGACGTCCATGTTCATTTCTCCTATACTGAACCATATTTTCAAGATCAGCAACATACAGAAACCCAGCAATTAACATTTCAGTGTTTTTCTTGCCTTTGGAGAAAGCATCTTCCAGCTCCCGGCTGGTGCGCTCATCATACTGCCACCAGCCATTCCTCCCTTCATAATACCACGCATAGTCACCGTTTCCTCTGCTCGCTGCCTTCAGTTCTTCTGGGGACAACAAAGTTGGCTTGTCGAGGAAATCCTCAGGAATTTCTTGTCGACAAAGGGCACATCGCTTTCCTAGCCATGAAGCTCCCTTTACACACAGATAGCAGAAAACATGCTTACAGGGCAGACTGACTGGATGAACGCATGTCTGCAGACAAATGGCACATTCAGGAACAGTCAGAGAAGGTGCATTATTAGAACATGACTCATTTGCCTTCTTGTTTGCTGGAAGCATATTTATTGAGTGATCAATTTCACCACAGCCGGCCATCCTAAGAAAATAGAAAAAGTAAATATTGAGATCGTTCAAACATTTCCAATTCCAAATTCACTAATTTTGTTCATATGTAGTAAGTATGAACCCATTACATGCAAACCACATACTATATAAGGAGGATAAGAACATGAAAGGAGATAGGCAAATTCAAGGCTTGTCTGTTCTACATGATGCTGTTTCAACCCCATCCCCCCAAAAAACACAAAGCAAAAAACAAAACCAAGAATGAAGGGAGAGAAAAAAATTGAGAAAAGGCTCAATTTCTGTCGAAAATCTTTTTGATCTGTAGTTGTACCCCATCATTTTTTACTTGCAGGCCCACTGAAGAGTATTAATTATTAAACAAAAACGCAGAACTGAAACCAAAGTATATATATTTTAAATATATCATTTCCACCCAGATACAAAGATAGAACTAAATGCAAACACTTAAAGACGTGCAATCTATTGTAGACTGACTTTAGAATCAGTATGCGAAAGACAGAAAACAACTCAAAAGCACTTTATACTTGTCATTTTGCCATATGTTCATATATGTTAGTACTTAACCAGTACCCTTTAACTTAAACACACTGGTTCAGCCACCATTTCTGTCATGCTTTAACACTTGTTCTCTGTGAAATGCTCTTCTACCAGCTTTTTGATGTTACCTTGTTCTGTTTTTCTCAACAATATACTTTTGTGTGTATTCCTGAGATGATTTCATCTGTACCAAGCTTCAATTATTTTTATATAAATGACACAAACTACTCTTACTAATTCAGGCTTCTTCATTCAGCCATAGCCATGTATTTAATTTTCTTTATTGTTGTGGGTGTTTATAACGTATCTGTGAGTACAGGTGCAGGTTCGTGTGTGAAGACCGGAGGACAGTTTTCAAGAGTCTGTTCTTTCCTTCTCCCATGGGTTCTGGGACTGAACTCAAGTTGTCATGTTTACAAGACAAACATCCACTGAGCCATCCTGCTGGCCCAGACATGTACTTCTAATTGTCTACTTTGACTCTAGATCTGCTTCCTGCTTACTCTCTACAGTGGCCCCCGGCGTGATGGTACTGTCTGCTTATCCAAGCCAGAAACCCAGCCCAGAAACTGCCTACTACCTCCCTTCCAAAACATCAGCAAGTAACATAGTTTATCTCCTAAATAGATCCCAATTCCTCCTACACCCACTCTATCCTCCCCAAGTCACTAGATGCTATTCACTAAATTGTTACATATGCTTTTTTTTTTTTTTCCATCTTTTTGAGGCAAGATCTCCCTGTAGCCCCAGCTGTCCTGAAACTATGTAGACCAGGCTGGCCTTGACCTCACAGAGATCCACCTGCCTCTGCCTCCCAAGTGCTGGGACTACAGGCATGCGCCACCATGCCCGGCTACATATTCTTTTTAATTAATCCAGCCACATTCCTGCCATAAACATTGCTTTTAGGATAAAGTCCAAAATCTCCAGAAGGACCTATTATGTGCTATAAGGTCTCGTTCCTCACACACCAGCCTCGTTGTGTATCAAAATTACCCTTTCTCAGGCATATAGCCAGAGTGTGCACTAACTACTTCCAGTATGACCTACGTATTTCCGTACAGGGCCTGGCAAATATTTACTAGAAAGAGATTTTTAAAGTCATTAAGATGAATGCATCATGATACTTAGGTTCCTTTTTATTTTAAATATCAGTGTAACCAACTGTGACTAGTAATAATCAGATACATACAGCTTAAAAACGTGCAAATATTTAAGTGTTAGTAGCATTAAAAATGTAGGAAACAGCTATCTTAAAATGAAATGGAGAACTTCTTTAAAGGGTAAAAACTCATTCAATTTTATGTCTTACAGGGTTTATACTGAGTTCAATATTGTATGACTGTATTAATTCAACTGTGAACCTAAAAACTTATAGCCACCTTTGAAAGAGATGTATCCTTGCTCTGGAATGTGTTACTGAATATGTTAAAGCTGTTATGAAAAAAAAAATCAGGCTAAACTATCTAATTAAAAAGTTAAAAACACTTACTCTGAAGAGCTACATGATAGAGGCTGTAACCAGCCCCAGAGAAAGCCAGCTCAAATTAAGCTACACAGTGAAACCAATGTTGAACTATAAAGCCCAAAAGCTAAGTCTTACTTTCCCTTATTAAGCATGTGCTGTTGATCACTGAGGTAGACCTATATTTTGAAAATTACAACATACAGATAAGAATGGCCAAAAGATTTGTAATTTCTAAAGTTCCATGAAAATTCCAATTATATAATAGTGAGAGAAAATTAAATGAATATCAAACTTGCTATGAAGAGATGAAAAGGTTTGTCAAATTGGATGTTAATGAGCTTGAACACTAAGAAAATATAGAACTAAAAATGATTTTTATTTACATATACATATTATGTCTGTATGTATCTATGCACACATGTATGTAGATGCCTGTGAAGGCAAGAAGAGGGTGTCAGATCCCCTGGAGCTGGAGTTACAGGCAGTTGTGAGCAACCAGACATGGGTGCCAGGAAGTGAATGCCAGTTCTCTGTAAGAGCAGCAAACCCTTTTTAATGGTGGAAACACCTCTATAGTCTGAAAATTTGGAACTTTTGCCTTATTAAGATAAATATCTACTAAATACCTAACCATAGTCTATATACACTGTTGAATTGTGATGATCTAATGGCAAATAAGACACACATATAGTCTGCAAAACAAAGAAACAGATATGCAAGGAGATATAGTATGCAGTAGTGGAAATGTGTTAAGATACTAAAAGTAATGTGCAGACATGAATGGACATAGATTATAAACTTTGGGATGGGGAGTTGGGATGAAACTGGGGGGTGGTGGGGTGAAGGTAGTGGAGATTCTAGGCAGAGATATATCCAAGGTCCTGAATCAAGTAAGTAATAGGATAAAATGAGATGGAGCTTAAAAGTAAGTCAGAAGCAAAAATCAAGAAAGTTTTACTGTATTATGTTAAAGAAACATGACTTGTTATTCCACGGACAGCAAACCACAGGGAGCAGTGACAGGTAAAAAGACTGAGAAATACAGTTGACCATTTCTGTACCAGTTAATTCTGCCATGCTAAACACAGAACTGAAACACAATTAGGACTTTTGCTATTTGTCCAAGACCCAGCACTCCACTGAAAAATAAGTCTAAGAGCTGTAAAAAAAAAAAAAAAAAGAAAAAAAAAAGGACAGGCAATAAAAGTGCTTATACTAATCAAAATTGAAGAAGACTATCCTTCAGCTTTCAGCACAGCCTATTCAATCTTACATCCCATTCTTCTGCTGCTTTGTATTATGACACATTCAAAATGATACTAAATTTTATTGAGATTGCATGTATCAGGAAACAACACACTACTTCAGAAAAACTAATCGCAGGAATGCTTAATTTATAATTTTTCAACTCAAATTATTATTATATTTTACATGTATGAGTGTTTTGCCTGCATGTAAGTGCATCCATGGTGTGCAATGCCCATGGAGATCAGAAGAGGGTGTGAGATTCTCTGGAGCTGGAGTTATAGACAGTTGTAGGCCACCATGTGGGTGGTGGGACTCAAACTCAGGTCCTCTGCAAGAGCAGACAGTGCTCTTAACTGCTGAGCCATCTCTCCAGTCCTCTTTTTCATCTCTTAATAACATTGCCCATTAGCTTCTTTACCAGAAACTCTACATAGTAGAAAACAGCAAAGTACAACTTTTTTCTAACCCACTGTAAGTTCTAAATTAAATACAACTTAACATGTGATATGCACTACAGGAGCCTTAAAATATTTCATCAAGCTTCCAGAGATCTCAACTTCAACAACAGAAGTTACTAGTGTATAATCACATGTTTCTCAACTCCCTAATCACCAGCCCTATCTATCCTTCTTTGCCCAGCACCAACTGTGCACAACTACCTTCAAAAACATTCATTCCTTGAAATTTAAGCCAAAGAAACTAGTTTCAATGAGTTTTTTCCTCATTTGTATGTGTGTGACGTGTGCTTGTTCACCTGTGCTCATGAAGACCCAAGGTTGATCTCAGGAGTCCTCCATTATGCTCATTATTCCTTATATATATAGCAGGGTCTCTCAAATGATATGGCTGGTCTGGCTAGCTAGCTTGCTTTGGGGATGCTACCTCTGCCTTCTGAGTGCTGAAATTTTAGATTCTCTTACCTACCCTACATTCATGTGGATGCCAGGGACTATGGTCCTCATGTTTGAACAGCAGGCCCTTGTGCTCTGAGCCAGCTCTCCAACTACTTAATGAAATTTTGAAACAATTTTTAAAATTTCCACTTGTAGTTAAATCTCTAAAAAAGAAAACTAAGAAAGCAACCCATTTACAATTAATTGAGGGAAGTTTTATTCGAAAAACAAAACAGACAATGGGCTGGTGTTCATTTCTATTTTGGAAACAAAAGCAACATAGAGAAATGCACATCATAACCTGTCCAAGACAAATTTAAAATCTGATATATTTAAATTTTAAATATGAAAAATATGACTGGTAAAGGAAATAGTCAATATCACTTAGACTAATGTCATACACTCAAATACATAATTCTAAATCTGCAATATTAAGTAAAATTGACCCCAACACATATGTTGCTGGTTAACCTACAGAAAAGAAAGTTTTCAACCCAAACCAATACTTTTTACTCCATTTGATGTGATGACAATATCCTATGTTTGATAAATTTCAATCAAAAACAAGTCACATTGGACAGTTAAACATCCTTTATTTTACAGAAAGAATCTCATTGATCAATTTGCCATAGCAAATTTTAAATTCTGACTCTTCAGCCCACCTAGTGTAGATAGACTGATAGTCTATCACCAATTAGAAAAGGGAGAAAGATTTACTTAATATTACATAATTCTGGAAGAGGCACATATAAGATACAGAGAAGGTTTGTTTTTTGGTTTTTTTGGTCTTTTTTGAGACACAGCCTCCCTGTAGCAGCCTCTAGCTGGCCTGGACCTTGCTATGTAGACCAAGCTAGCCTTGAACTCACAGAGATCCTCCTGCCTCTGCCTCCCAAGTGTGCTACCATGCCCAGCTAGAGAAGATTTTTAAACAAGATAAAGTAACCAAAACCCACTAGTCTGCATATATGACACACATCAAGGTAGATTCACTATTTTAATCTATCACACACAGTCCATAATTTTAAACAGGCCAGAGGCAAATGTGTGCAGAGGATCATACCAATAAGTGTAAAAAGTGCTTCACCCTTTTCTAGAACAAGGATTTGGTATAGAGTTCAAGCTAACCAAAAGGATATGCCCTGTTTAATATGTTTTAGGAACTTTTAAATATCATTTCTGAAAAAAAAAAAATGGAGGGGGAGTTTCTTTCTAGATTACTAAATTAAGAATAATTTAATTCATAGAAAGTTGTAGTTTAGTCTAACATTGCTAAAGCGCATAATAAACACACCACTCACCTTCACAGAATTTTTTCTAAGTAAATTCTCTGTGTCATTTTATTTCTAAACATAAATTCCATTCTTCCCAAATAATATAAAATAGTTCCACAAGATACATATATGTCTATTAACACTTCTCTTTTCTCAAGAAGCTTAGTCATAGAGGGGTATGTACAGAATTGTTGGAAATGTCTTAAGTATTCAGATGCTGTTGACCTTACTGAAGATGCCTAGTCAAATGAAAGGAAACATTACTATAAACAGAGTACTGAAGAACTTTTTAACCAGCAACAAATATTACAGGTATTAGGGCTGGGGATGAAGCTCAGTTGATAGTGTGCTTGCCTAGCATTCATGAACCCCTGGGTTCAATCCCTAGTACTACATAAACTGGGTATAAATATACAATCACAGATACCTATGATCCCAGTACTCAAGAGAGAGAGGCAGGAGGGTCAGGAGTTCAAGGCCATTCTCAGATGTATATTGACTTTAAGGTCAGCCTGGGCTGCACAAGACCTTGTCACAAACAAGCAAGAAAGCAAGCAAACAAATAAACCTAAATATTAAAAATGAGTTTTTATTTTTTTAAGTTTGTGCTCAGAATCCAATTACAAACACAAAAATAGGAACAAAGAATAACTTAACATCATCCCTTTTGTACTTGTGGCAAGTGTAAAAGCTATCTTCCTTCATGGAACATCCTTTTTTTAAAAAATATATTTTTAACTGAATTTGTGTGGATTTCATACAAGACATTTTGATCGTATTTAGTCCCCCTTTCCCTACCTGCACCTCCCCATATCCAAATTCTAAAATTTTTGGCTCATCTGGAATTTAAGTGTGAAGTCTAATATAAATTAAATAAATCCTTAAATTTCTTAAATTATAACAATGATCATTCCCAAGTCTTCAAGACAAAATTCTTCTCATACTGCAGTGCTGTGGAGGTGGTTTACAGGCTGGGTGTTTGCTGATGCTTATTTTTAGTACATTAAAGTACAATGGCTATCATACTATCAGATAATATCTGCTGGGCACTTTTAGAAAGACTTTATACTTAATGCTTACCTGGTCCTCCAAAAGGAGGTCAATTATTTTCCTCATTTTACACAAGAGAGCTGAGAAGCATGAAATTCAGGTGTTATCCCTAAAGCTAGTGACTCATCCATAATGAGTAATTGAGGCAACTTCACAAATTCATGATCTGACTTGAGAGTCTATACTTTTAACTGCTATATACTGCCTCCAAAATAGTAATGGCTGTCCATAAGAGAACCATCATAGGTAATTTTAGAAAACATGGTGTTTCATGAAGTTAACAAGAATTTTCAGATTTATAAAAGTGTCAATGACATATTACCTGCCAAAAGACAGATTTGTCAATTTCAGTATTTTCCTTTGTTCTCCTTTAGTTTTATTTTAAACTAAGGAAAAAGCACATCACATTGACTGAGCCTACTATGGGAAAAATGTATCTTGACACTTCCCGTCAAAGTGTTAAGGGTAGAAACTTGCCTTCCTTATTGGCCTTAGCATGGGTATAACAGATAACCAAGGAGCACAAAGGAGAAAATGATTACCTGTAGGGAGGGGACAGACACATTTTAAATGGGTAAGGTACCTTGTAAGTGGTATGTGAACACCTTGATCTTACGCTATGTTAGTGACTTTAGACATTTATTCTAAATGCCAAGGGCTCTTAAACATTTCTTAGGTCACAACATTATTAACAATTTGATGAAATTTTATATATAAATTTAAAAGGGTTAATCTCTATAAAGCCAGTCCACATGTAAAGCCAATCAACATATACCTGGTTTTAAAGCCATGAAAACTGAATGGATGACCAAATTAAATGCGTAGCAAAAGCAGGGGAAACAGTCAATTACAGAACCTTGGATTGTTCCAACACTTATACTTTATATAACAGCCTGCAAGAAATTTAAAGAATGCTCAAAGGAAGAGAGGAAGCAAAAAGAGAGAATATCACCAAAAAAGAGGGAGATGTTTGCAAAAGCAGCTTAATGAGAGGACTACGAATGTTGCTCTGATGAAATTTCAATTGTATGCTGTATGCTTCAAAAGCTGTAAATTCCACACACAGATTTGCTATTTTGCTTGGCCAAAGACCACCAAGACTGCTACCTGTAATTTAGCCAAGACACCGTAATTTACCTACTTCCCCAAAGAGAATTCTAAAACTTTTCCAACCTCTTAGTTTTGAGGTACTCTGACTCCTGTGGTCATTAAGAAATTATGTAAGCCAAGGAGTCTTACTCAAATTAGAGCTATACTTTCACTCCGCCTTACCATTTCTCCTGGCTCAGGATGGGTTACTGCTGTTTGTTTTTGAAGCTAACTCCCCAATTTTTATAACTGGTGCCCTAACTCCTCCAGGACTCTGACTGGTATTTCAAATTAAGAGTCTCCTTTAGTTAGCCTCGATCAATTCCATATTATTCTTTTCCTAAAACCTTGTATTCTTCATTTGTACAGTAGCTCATTCTCAATTTCAATTCTCTTTCTCTCCTTCTCTAATATCCCTTAAATATCGATATATCTCACAAAGCATTACAAGTGTTCCTTGTTTACACATTATGGTCTATGCCTAGTCAGCGGACATAGCTAATCTTGGTTTTTCAACTTGACACACCTGGGAAGAGGGAGCCTCACAGGGAAATGCCTCCACCCCACTGGCCTGTGGGTATGTCTGTGAGGCATTTTCTTGATTGTTGATCAATGGTGGAGGTCCAGCCCTCTGTAGGCAGTGCCACCTCTGGGAAGGCTGTCCTGGGTTTTTAAGAAAGATAGTTGAGCAAGCTAGAGGAAGCAAGCCAGTCAGCATGGTCTCTGCTTTAGTTCCTGCCTCCAGGTGCTACCTTGAGCTCCTGCTCTGGCTTCTCTCCATGGACTATAACCTACCTGTAAGATGAAATAAACCCTTTCCTCCCCCAGCTGCTTTTAGTGTTTTATCATAGCAATAGAGAGTAAACTACAACATTGGTATTCTGGATGTTTCATATCTGCAAAAGCTCCACCTTAGACCTGTCTTTCTGATTCTGTATTCCAAAAGTCTACCTTAACATCCTCTGAGTATCTGAAATTAAACATGATTGTAACAAACCTATCTGCTTCCTGAAACCTGCATTTCATTTGTTCTCTACTTGGTTAAAACAGAGAGCCATTCTTGCTCATCTAACACCTGGCACCTTCTCTTTCTCTTTTACAACAGCAGCCTTTACCCCAAGGCCAGTGAACTTAGTAGATTCCACACCCTCAGTCACCCCTCTCCTACAAAATACTAACCTTCTGATTGACTTCAGTCTTCTCTCCCTAGCTTTTTCTCAGTCCAGTCATGTCTAATTAGTCATCACTCAATCTTTGTTTCCGACTTTATACATAATCCAATAGAAATTCCAGTGCATAGAATTTCAGGATCAATGACAGACCCTTTATACTAAAACTATTAAAAATATCATTTTTCTTTATGTTAATATTTCCCCAAATTCCCTAAAGGTAGGAATTAGCTAGTGTGCTCTCCTCCTGGAAAGCTGACCCAAGGGGTCTAGGTTAGGGTTCAAGAATTTGTTTTTAAATAAGTGCCCCTGGGGATTATTCTCAGAGAAACTTGATAAACAGTGACATAGGGAAATGACTTGTTTCTTCAGCAGTAAGGCTATTCTTTTATTTATTTATTTAATTATTTATTTAATTTACATTCATTCATTCATTCATTCATTCATTCATTCTTTGTCTTTTTGAGTCAGGGTCTCCTTGTAGCCCCAGCTGGCCTGGAACTCACTATGGAGAACAGGCAGGCCCTGAACTCACAGAGATCCATCTGCCTCTGCCTCCCAAGTGCTAGGACTACAGATGTGCACCACCATGCCCAGCTAAGGCTATTCTTTAAACTTCAGTGCCCCAAGAAAATACCCACCAGCAGCTGTTGATATGGTAGCTACTAAATAAGCATTCACTCTTCCTACCTTGCTCTCTTTCTCCCATCCTACTTTTATATGCATGATCAGTTCCAAACTCCTCTAAATACCTCGAGGTTAGGCTGCTTACTGCCTTCTCATTTTCTTCACTCTCAACTCTTCACATGGTATTAATTTTTTCTTCCTCTCAGTTCCAAAGCATCTTACTGTTCTCTCAATATCGCATTTGTCTGACCATTTCACTGTTAATGACATATTTGTCTCATTTACTAGGACATAGTGAGGTCCTTGATGACCAGTATCTACTGACTTGAAAGATTAAACACACAGAGGGGCTCCTGGGAAATCTAATCTCAGTGATAGAGAGCTTGCTCAGCAAGCATAAGGCTCTTAATTTGATCCCTAATACCGTCAGGTGGAGGGGGACAATAGTATACAAGATACCTTGACCCCAGTTTTAAAGAAAGTGGCTTTTTGGTATCATTTTTCTTTTATCCAAATCTTAACACTGACTTAGCAAGATATGGTCATACTTCTAATGGCAGAGATGCCTTAGATGTCAAACTGGGAGAATGAGAAACAGTATCAAGAAGAGGTACTGTGGTTCAGGAATTTAAACCGTCAAGACTTAGAAGTCAGTAATGTATTCATTTTCCCTTAGAACTATGATGCTTATTGCAGGAAATGTTTCATCAAAATATAATGGAGTTCAATATGAGCAAGCTCAAGGCTATCAAAACACTTTGAGCCTTATTACACAAAGCCTTAATAGGGAAACACAACCAATAAAATAGCAAATTAGTGTTCAAAATAAAAAGCAATAATGTATTAACTTTTAAATCCATTACAGTAAGAAGAAATTCTAAAATTTCATGAAACAGGATTTTTAGTGACCACTGTTTTATAAGCTAGAAATCTCTTATTTATAAAAGTTGAAATTCCCTAACATGTTATTTAAATAAATTACTATGTAAAGATAAAGTGGAAAACAAAGGCCTTAGAGATCCCTAGGCTTCCACGAGTAAACTCCTCCACCTTCAGCTCACAGTTTTCTCTATAATGTTTGGAAATCTTAGTTATGATAGTTTACCGTAAATAAGACTGTTAGTCATGCAGGGCATGGTGGCACATGCCTTTAATCCCAGCGCTCAGGAGGCAGAGGCAGGCATATCTCTGTGAGTTCGAGGCCAGCCTGGTCTCTATAGCGAATCTAGGCCAGCTAGGGCTACAGGTAGACCCTGTCTCAAAAGACCAAAAAAAAAAAGACTGTAAGTCATTACAAAATGTTCATTTGTATGATTAAACTAAGTACTGAAGACATCTGATGCATTGCATTAAAATTCTTGCTTCACTGGAGCTTGGGAAGCCGCAATGCTCTAGATACTGAACTTACGTTTCCATCACAGACTTCACAGATGCTCAGCACAGAAATGAAACATCTCCTTTACCACTTGGCAGCCAGGTAACAGTGTTTTCTCTTCCACTGCTGGTTCATTCTTTGTGCTATAAAAGGAAAATAGTATCAATAACAATTTCTCAACAAACTAAGATCAACAGACCTAGTCAATTATGTATGATTCTTTAACAAAATTCAGTGGCAAATTTTATCTTAAAATAAGAAAAGCTAAAGGAAAGCATGCTTGCTTTCACCACTTATATTAACATTACTAGAAGTTCCTGTAGAGAAATTAGATGGAAAAAAGCAATAGAAGGCATAAGTTTTAAAACGTACATTTTTACTTGTAGTGGTTTTTCTCTATATAGAATCCTAAGAAGCTAAACTGATGAGTCCAGAAGTTACAGGTAATATGCTTATCACACAGAAAATACTGCCTGTGTTCCTATGTGCTACTAGCATTCAAGAAAATGAAAATCAAAGGAAAAAAATCCACTTAAAACAATATCTAAAGTAAAGCTATGGAGCAATTTAACCTAGGAGGTGAAAAACTTAACTAAAAAATTACAAATTACTGAAAGTCGGGCGTGGTGGTGCACGCCTTTAATCTGAGCACTGGGGAAGCTGAGGCAGGTGGATCTCTGTGAGAGCCAGGCCAACCTGGTCTGTATAGCAGGTTCCAAGCCAACTGGAGCTATAGGGAGAGCCCATATAAAAAAAAACCTAACCCTCCCCACAGCACCCATTACTGAAATAAATTTAAAAAGGCTAAATAAGTGAAAAGGCAGCCAGTGTTCACAGACTGGAGAATTATGAGATGGCCATCACCACTCAAGAATGATCTATAGATTCATCAGAATTCCTATCAAAATCTCAATAGCCGGGGCTGGAGATATGGCTCGGCAGTTAAGAGCACAGCCTGCTCTTGCAAAGGACCTGGATTCAGTTGCCAGCACCCATCTGGCAGCTAACCACCACCTATACCTCCAGTTCCAGGGAATCCAATGCCCTCTTCTGGCATCCATGGGCATTGCAAACATGGGTGCACTTACATGCATCCAGGCAATACACATTAAAAAAATAAATTAAAAAAAAAAATCTCAATAGCCTTTTTACATAAATGGAAAAACCAGTCTTTAAATTCATATGAAATTTCCAGGGGGCCCAAATAGCAAATACAATCTTGAAAAAGAAATTAGACAACTGCCACCTTCCAATGCCAAAATTTACTGTAACTCTGGAATAATCAAGACAGTACGGTACTGGCATTAAGTATAAAGAAATACATCAATAAAAAGAACTAAGAATCCAGAAATAGGGGCTAGATGGCTTGGGGGTTAAAGAACGCTTACTGCATTTGCAGAGGACTTAAGTATAGTTCCCAGTACCTATGTGGTGGCTCACAGCTGCCTATTAATTCCAGTCCCAGGAGATCTGATGCCTCTTCTGGCCCCTGCATGCATGTAGTACACATAAACACATGCATACACACACATAAATTAAAAATATAAATGTAATATAAACAAATCTTTACAAACAATCCAGAAAAAAAATGCATCTATTAATATCCAACATCTTTGAAAATGTCCATTCAAAGGGGAGTCTTCAACAAATGTTGGGACAATTAGATTTACATACACAAAAAAGTCAAGTCACACTTCATAATATATACAAAAATTAACTCAAAAAATGGGAATCCGACACTCTCCTCTTTCACAGGCATTGCACAATGCATGTACACTTACACACATGCAAGCAATACACTCATAACACATAAAATTTGAAAAATAAAATCAAAACAGGGCTAGAGAGATGGCTCATTGGTTAAGAGCAATAGTTGCTCTTATGGGTTTGGTTCCTAGCACCCAACATAGCAGCCAACAATTGTCTAGAACTCCAGTTCCAGGGGGAACAATGCCCTCTTCTGACCTCCACAGGCATTGTATGACACGGGTGCAATTATATCATGCCAACAATACACTCATACAGATAAAATAAAATAATTTTTTTAAGTTAAAATGGATCAGTGATCAAAATATCAAAATTTGAAATCATAAAATTCTTGGAAGAGAACAGAGGAAAGTTCTTCATGCTTTGGATACATGAAATCTACAGCATAATCAACAAAAAATATAAATTAGACCTTATCAAAATTAAAAACTTGTTCATCAAAAGATATTGTAAACAAAGTAGACAATTTACAGAATGGGATAATAGTTTTGCAAATCATAAATCTGACTTAAAGTTCAGACTGTTTAAAGAACCCTTACAACTCATCAAAAAATAAAAAAACTAAATGAGTAACAGGTCTGACAAATAATTTCTCCAAAAAGCTATAGCCAATAAGCACACAAAAACATGCAAAACATTGCTAGGCATTGGGAAAACAAAGGAGAAATAAATGTTGAAGATGCAGGAAAATTGAGGCTTCAATTTCTGCTGGTGAGAAAGTAGTTATGAAACAGCACACGCATATTTGATAATTAACATACACACCCCAAAAATCCTACTGGCAAGATTATTATCCCAAATGAAAACTAGGCCTCAAATAAATATTTATATGCCAAAGTTCATCATAAAATTATTAGTCAGAAGGCAGACAGAAGTATCCTTTCACAGATAAATGGATAAAGAAAACCTGGTATTGAACAGTGTATTCAGTAACTACAAGGAATGATGCTCATTCAATATGGATGCACCCTGAAAACATGATGTTAAGTAAGCCAGATACAAGGGGGATAAATGGTATATTCAGGTCCATATGAATAAGCAAGTTCACAGGGATAGAATTAGTTTATGGGGGGCTGGAGAGATGGCTTAGCGATTAAGAGCACTGACTGCTCTTGCAGAGGACCCGGGTGTGATTCCTAGCATTCACATGGCAGTTAACAACTGTCCTTAACTCAGAGGCAAAAATGGGGAGCAGGTACAAAATTTCTATGTAGAATATGAAAAACTGGAAATACGCAGTGAAGATGGCTATACAGCACTGAGAACTGTAAATAAAATTCTCTACACTGAGTTGTACATTTTCAAATGGTTAAAAGTATAGAATAAGTCACATTACTTATGTTTTTCTAAGTAAAACAACTTCTGTATGGACAAGCCAAAGTAGAAACAAAAAGTCAAGAGTCAATCCTTAACACTGAGTTAAGCTGTCAGTCACTGCCTTCCTGTACCTTAACTAAGGGTTCCTGCTATTTGTATGCATACATCTCTAATTCTATAACCTTTAAACCAACTTTCTCTCAGGTTATCTTTTGTCCAGGGAATCTAGAAGCAGCATCTGGACCCTGTCTCAGCTACTGTCCTTCACTTTGTATTTCTTGCTGTGCTTCTAAACAGCTACACTTTGAGAAGCACCTCATTCTACATAAAACCTATTAAGCACACATGATCACTAGTGAGATGACAAACCCCAGAGGAAGCCTCAAAGAGTTGAATCCTCTCAGTTCCATAAGCCTCTCACTGTAGACAACAACCTCCCTAAGGTTTCAAAGATTCTGATATTTAAAGATAAGTGTTAGTAACAGCATATGTGGCTTCTAGATCCAAGCGAGCTTTTCCCACCAAATGTTTACAAGAATAAAGCAGCAGTTTTAAAGCCAGAGAATTTTCAAAGTAACTGGCTAAGCAATGCTTCTAAGTGACCTGGCTTCATTCTGCTCTGACTTTGGATGTGGGCTCCACTGTTCGGACATTCCTCCCACCTTTCTCACTCCGCATCATGGTGAAACAAGCTCAGCAGCAGCAGCAGCAGCATACTCTTGCTTCTCTCCTGCAGCCTATGCAGCCTACTCAAAACAGTCATTTGTTCCCCATCTGCAGGTCAGAGAACACTGTACAGCTCGGACACTTCTTATTCTGAGAAGCTCCTACCACTGGTTGTACACTTTCCAATCCCCTAATGCTGCTGTGTCAACAATTACACTGACTTTTTTCACTACTGACTCTCCTTTTCACTCTAACTCCTTGTATTACTATGAGCTTACTAAAATATCCTTGAGAATCAACACTCCCAAATCCCAGGGATTCTTAAACTTATTCCAACACTCCATTAGAAACAAGGTGCTTGTTAGGAACATGGATTCTTGGGGGCACTGCTGCTATAGATTCTAGGGTTAGAAATACTGATGACAGCCAGAAGAATATAAAATAGCCCTTTATTTTTTAAATTCCTAAATTCAATTAACTTCACTTCCTCTCAGCAATAAAATTCACAGCCATATTTGGCACTGTCACCTAGAACTGCTCCTCTTAGAAATCATAATCCATTATCTGACCCCAAACACTAACCTCTTCTATGTTACTTCTCCTTAGCACACTCTGGCCTCTTCCCCACCTTATTTCCTTTAATACAACTCCTGCTGTCATTTCTTGCCCAATCTAAAACTCAGTCATTTGAAAGCTCTTCCTTAACAGAACACTTGTTTGGCTCCCCCATACTTTTGTTTTACCTGTAATCTCATGTTATGTGATGTTTCAGTCACCATGCCTTTACCACTTACAAGTTACAAAGAAAAAAAACCTCTCAACACTGTCTCTGACGTCCAATCACACCAAATTGTGTCAGCTTTTATCTGTAACACTTTGGGAATCTACTATGCACCACTATGCAGCTTAAACAGCTTTCTCCAAATCTAGCCTTAAATTCACTCACTAAAGCTTCTGATACATCTGAGAAAAAAATGGGCCATGGTCCCCTTATACTTGAAGCCTAATATTAGTTTCCAAAGCTACACAATAAAGGCAAAGCTCCTTAGGACAACAAAGGCTTTAATGATCTGAACCCTAAGTAACTCCCTAGTCTTAATATCTTTGATACCAGGCTTCAAGATTAATACTGTAGTTATATCAAATTACTTAGTTCTCCCAACATCCCTTGACAGTTCTGTATTTCCTCCTGCCTTTAAGAGCCTCTCCAAAAAGAGGATCTTTTTACAACTTATAAATGCCTAAACAACATTCACTGCACAGGAATGGCCACACAAACTATTTGCCTCTCTTATATTTTGTGTATTTTTCCATTACTGAACTTACCACATGTATTGACATTATTAGCTTCCAAACTCTGACCTTCTACTGAATGAGTCCCAAGAAGAAAGGA